TCATTTATTTGTTTGTTTCGTTTGTTCATTCAGCCCCTCGCTTGCTTTTTTGTTTGTTAATTTATTCATTCATTCATTTGTTTATTGATTTAAATTTGTTTTTGGGCTGAACTCAACTCACTTACAGTAAAAATGCAAATTTTTGTAGCAAAGCCATATAATTGGACCATTTTTGTTTTCTCGAATCCCAAAGAACATTTTTCCACTATAAAGAACCTTTTGTGCAATCGAAAGACTCCGTGGATGTTTAAGGTTCTTCATGGAACCATCGATGCCAGTAAAAACCTTTAGTTGCAAGAGCCCATGAACATCTCAGCAAACAAACTAGGTTCTGGGAACGTTAGATTTTGGTTCCCAAAACGTTCCAAGAACTTTCCTTTAAGGTTAGGAAAACATTCCTGGAACGTTCTCCTTACGTTATAAAAATGGAACCTAAAAATAACCTACATGGAATGTTCCTATAATGTTCTTGTTTGGTTCCCAAAAAAATAATACCTCAGGGTCCATCTCCTGTAGTTCATACTCCAGCTTCTCCAGCTCCTCTGCGCTGAGGCCCTTGAGGATGGCATCCTCGTCAATGTCTCGGGGATCGCTCTTAGACATGCTTGAGGCTTGTTGGTACTCTCAATTCACACAGCTCGCCCAGAGACAGCAGGCCCTGAGAGAGAGATAAAAGTTTAAGCCAGAAACTTGCACAAAAAACAACTAGTTTTAATATATTTGGCTTGCAAATTAGGCACAATAATGTCTGCTTGCTTTATTCAGTCCCTCAAAGCTTTCTGTAGAAGTTGAGAATGAATGGGAAAACCTGATTTCCAGGCCAAGTCACTTTCAGCCAGGCCAAAAGAGCCAGACACTGAAAGTCCACAATTGGGAACCGCTTACATTGTTAAATGCCACAAAGCCCAGCTGAATTAAAAGGACAAGGCTAGCATTTGTGTACAGGAAGAGCTTTTGGGGGTCTGAGGGTATAGTGTACTTGGGAACAGAGATATGCCTTTCTGACAACACCATCTAAGATCATATGGGACGTGAGGAAAGAACTCACTGCTTTTCGATTCCAATGCACAGACACAGAGAGAATCTTATCTATTTTTAGTCTCTCAACAGTAACGCTAGGGTTTTGGGTTACAGTAAGGAGAAGGAGGTTAGAACTGAGGAGTTATCACTGGCTCACACTCATGTGAAGGTGGCCGCCTGTTAAACAGGCTGATAGAGTCATGGGCTAGTCAACAGTTTCAGACCACCACACCCAAACAAGATCTGCAACACAAACTACATACAATACAGACAAACATGTTGTTGTGTAACAGACCTAAACTCAGATACAGATACAATGTAATTCTCTTAACTTAATGTTTGTCCAAAAATGTTTGATTGTAATCTTTCAAATACTTTTGATATGTAAATATTTCTAATCAAATAACTTTTGAATCAATGTTTACAGTCATGTAAAACCATTTGGAGAGACCAACGAGGTCATGATCTAAATATATGCTAATGAACATTACTGCTAAATTTCACACAATGAATCACACAGATCTGTTACGTTCCACACTTTCATGAACATACAGTCCTAATGCTTGCTACATAATTAAATAAATATAGTAAAGTAATGAGGAGATTAGTTAGTCATGGCTAATATTATATTGTGGGAAGAATCTAAAAACAAAAAAACAAATGTGTTTTTGTGTTTGTGTTTTTGGGTGTGTACTTCAGAGGTGCTAGACCAGAGTAGCATGGCTCTAATTTGTAAAGCCAGTGACACAACAACAGGATCAGAAAGCTAAAAACAGAAAATAAAAACAAAATATTGTAGAAATCAATCAATCCACCACATGTGATAAGTTTACTGAATCATGTAGTACAAGTTTAATAATCATTACATCACAAAGCCCAGTCCTCAAACCATTTTCAGATTTATCTACTTGTCTAAATTAATTATATAATTTAATAATTTACTTGTCTTTAGCAGGACTAACGGTAAAGGCTCTACGCTAGTATTGAACATATTAAATTGTACCTATTCAGCCAAAGCACTTTACAGTATTTCTATGAATTGATATATCTAACTAACTTAAGTTTAATACGATCTCAGTTTTAAACAATGGTTAATGACATTGACTATCTTCTAAATGACCTTGCCCTCAGAGATGGACAATGCGTCTGACACCAGTCTTTCAGAAACATCTCAGTCTACAAGATTGACAGCTCAGGGATTATAAATAGCTATTAACTATTGTCTCTGCAGTCTTACAATAAACATACAGGCCAAAATGCTTTCTGTTGACCAGGTGTCATCTTTTTTGTGTTGTGCAAGAGAAGTAAGCGGCTGTCTGCCTGTTCCGCACACCTGTTCTCTCAACTCTTAAGTGACACCCACTCAAGCAAGCCAAAATAATATTAGCTGAGTTTCACCTGTTCAGGCTCGCTGGTTGTGAAGAGGGTCTTTAAAATTAGTCCTTCAACATGGAATCCTTGTTATTTCACTGTTGCAAGGCAGTAGCTAACATTTGACATTTCCAATGGAGAAAATATTGATTTAATTCAATTTTATTTTTAGTTGGTAAAGTAACTGTTCTGTTGAATTGATATGCGTGTTACAGATATCATTTTAAAGATGTTGTAATTTAGTGTGCATATTATAATGATTCAACTGCAAATCAAACAAAAAAAATCAGATAGGGCATGTTTCTTGAACTGTTTAAGTGATGCAAAATCATGCAAAAGACTATTATATTCTATCTATTATAAGACTAAAATAATATTGACAGAACTACACATTAAAACAAAGGTTGCAAATGTTTTGGGTTTTTTTTTTCAGCTATGCCATTTCAGTGAACAATTCTTCAACGGAGCATTTTTTTCCTATAGTGTGTTAGAACTTTTTTTTTTAATCTAAAGAACTTTGTATGCAGTGGAAAGTCTATGTGGATGTTAAAGGTTCTTCAAGGAACCCTTGTTTTTAGGAATGTAGGCAGAACTTCCAAACTCTTGAAAATAAAATTCTATATTAGCATCCATGGAAAATTTCCATTGCACAAAAGGTTGAAAAAGGTTAAAATCTTCACACCAAGAAATAATTTTAAAAAATGGTTCTTTTAAGAACTGTTCACTGAAAGGATCTTCGGGAGACAGAATGGTGCATCAATTGAACTGCAATGAAACCCGCCTTGGAACCTTTATTTTTAGTCCTTCTAGTTTCAAACTGACTAAAGAAATCTCCAAAAGCAACCTGAATCTTTTGACTGCTCTCCTTCCAGAGGCCACAAAGTTATTATCGTCCATATGACAAAAACCTCGGTTCGGTCTCAGAAACCCAATTCCCCCTCTGGTACTTCAAAAGGACAAAAAAGCAAATATTGGGCACTGACACATCAGATACCAATCATCCACCAGAAAAAGTGTCCAGAACTCTTCTGACATGCAGCAAACAACCTTCTTATTCAGATAGTTTATTCATAGACTTTTATTGGGAGCATTTTCCAGTGGACACACAGCTCATAAGACTTCACACTATTTGTAGGTTGACTTCACCAAGTCTAACCACCCAAGTGTAAAATTCCAAATCAACCTCAGATTAATTTTAGCTTCACAAGTCAGCTACTTCCAGCTGCATAAATCCTCTCCTCTTGCAAAGCTACAGTGTGCAGTAGCACTGCTGGCTGGGGAAATAATGGCTGTTTTAAAAACAAAATATCTCAGAAAATTATATTATATTAAACAAGACTGATATTTTCAGTAAAAAAAAAAAAAAAAAACTCCTATCAACAGGTGCATACAGGGATACCCTGGAAAACACAAAGCCTTACTCTAACATAAAAATATAAATGAACACAAGTAATCTAACTAGATCTATATAGGCTAGTCTCTAACTACTCTGATAATACTCTAATAATACACCACGAACCACTCACTGAGGCCTATCCATTAATTGATTGCTTCAATGCAATAATAATTCATGCAATTAAAAACTGAATGCAACAACACGTTTATTTTATACAGAAATACCCATAAAAATGCAAGCTTATGAAGTTTAAAAGCTTATAAATATGTGTTTCTGTTGCTAGAAGAGACACACAGAACCAGATTACCTACCCTCACTAGGACTCAGAGCTGCTGTGATCTTCTGTACGGACACTGTATGTTTGAAATCAGAGAATAGCCCCTCGCTCTCCCCGTCCCCCTCCCTCACCGGTAGTCTTTCTCCCCTTAAGCCCTCCCTTCTTCGCTGTCTGTCCCCCGATAACTCGCCTGCTCTCTGTGTTTGGCGCAGACAGGGATACGGGTTACTCTTCATGAGGTCAGCATTTCATTATTTTGGCTTTGAGAGATTAGAGAGAGAGCGAGAGAGCGAGAGAGAGAGAGAGAGAGAGAGAGAGAGAGAGAGAGAGAGAGAGAGAGAGAGAGAGAGAGAGAGAGAGAGAGTTCATGTAGTCATCTGTTTCATTAACTCAGGTTTACTCATTAAAAGTGTTACATTTTGGTAGATGGGACTGACCTCTAGGGTATAGACGCGGTATTGCAATTAAGAGAGACCCGAATTTGAAGTTCAGTTCAGATAGCTCTGTTGACAATTTTTGTCAAAGTTTATACATTGGCTGTAATGAGAAGTCTGTTCTCTACAACATATAATGTAATATAATAAGCGCATTTTATAGATGGACAATTTTTTATTATTATTATAAAAATAACAATGACATTCAATAGGCTACAGGACAGCAATCGTTACTGCTGTTTTTTCTTATATGAATACACTATAAATACATATCACCACATAATCACATTAAAAGTGCTTTTAAAAAAAATAAAGCATAAAACCCTTATGCAAATCTACACATTCCATACATCGATGAAGCTTATTCCACTTACAAATACTTTGGCTGCATGTCACCAAAGAACACTGGATGGATGGATGGATGGACGGACGGACGGACGGACGGACGGATGGGATAGATAGATAGATAGATAGATAGATAGATAGATAGATAGATAGATAGATAGATAGATAGATAGATAGATAGATAGATAGATAGATAGATAGATAGATAGATAGATAGATAGATAGATGAATATTCTGTATTTTTCTACATCCCTTGTTTAATAATGATCTTTTGCCGCAGATTCTTTGCAGTGGTATCGGCTGGAGTCACTGTGCCCGTGCAGGGCAGTCCGTGGGCAGTCACATACTTTTTATAAGCCTCCCGGATTATCCTAAAGGCTTGTACATTAGCGTATGGAATGTCCGTGATGGGGTCTCTGTAAAGTGCTGGCTTATGGGTAACAGGGCAGACCTCCTGGACAGGAATTCGAGGAGCTGGGGACTGGGGAAAGAAACGCAGGAAAGATTCATCATCACTGAATGTGATGTAGGTGCGGGAGCATTTGGCAGGGTTTACAGCAGCTGTGTTAGTGGACAGGACACTAGGTGGGGCAGTAAGGGTTGATACTGACTGGGAAAGAGCTTGTGGAAGGTGAGGGCCTGGATTCTGCAGGGCATCTTGGTCCAAACTGTTAATGAGAGGTAACGATAAAAAAAATGTAAAGATATAAGAGATATTAAGATAAAAAGGTGCACTCATTTTTTTTTTCTCATAAAACGTTACATAATTTTAGAATTTAGAATGTGCATAGGAAAATGAATTGTAGTGTCTCCCTTGGAAATAAAAAATAAATACATTTTCCATAACAAAGATGGCTGTATTTATTTTTTCACTAATTTCATAAATAATTACTATAAATTAATTAATTATAATTAAGAGTATCATTTATTGCTGATAGAATGATGTATGATATAGTACATCCCTTTTTAAAAGTTGTTTTTCTTTTTGTGTTTTGATTGTTCATTCTAGAATTTCTATTTATATTCAACTTTAAGCATGTTTAACATGTTTGTTTAAATATAAAAAAGATAGAACTCAACAGTAAATTTTTAAAAAATGTTTAAAATAATGTATGTACACATTAGATGCAGAAAAAAATAACCTTTTTAGGTATTTTAGGTCAAATTAATGAATGAAAGTATTAACATAAGAGCACTAAGAGTATACATACATTATCTGCCCAGTTTTAAGTGCCAGGCAATAGAAAGATTAGATCGATCTTAGATCAAATATATGCCCCACCTATGATAATGGAAGTCTAAGTCTAAAGCAGTAATGTAGTAAGTAGTAAAGTAAAAAAAGAGTCAAAAGCAAAAGAGGTATGCATAAAGACATTCAGAAAGAGACGAGGAACCAGAAGTACCCCTCTACATCCACGTTTTCCTCTTTAAGAGTGACGTCCGACACCAAGGGCATGAGCACCGAGTGATATCGGATAACAGAACCCACACACTGACGCTTCATATGAACCTGTCGTTTCTTGTCTGCCTCCAAACGCTCATAGTTTTCTGCAAAAAAAAAAAAAAATCACAAACAGCTATGAGCATTTAAGTTTTACAGACAGAACAATTTTCAAAAGTATCAGTTATCAATTCCTCACCCAGCGATCGAAGGTTGATCTCAGCTGTGACCTTGGCTTCTGCCAAAAGTTCAGCCTGGGTCAAAGGTCGCTCATGTCTAGTACCCTTCCTTCGACGTGGAGCAACCTGCCTCTCTTGCAGCCTCAGGTACGTCAGCCGTGTGTGTTCGGTCGTGGACTGACGAACAGACTTCCTGTCTAAGGCAAAAACAATTCATCAGATATTGATTTGGATATGTTTACTAACATTCACTCTGTCTATTATCTCCAACAGTTTATGATGTCGTCGACACGTGAGTAAATTGTTGGCTTTCCTGGAAGGGATGTAAAAACGACTCATTGACAACTTATTGATGGATTTTTTTATCTTTAGTAGTCAACAACACATTTTATTGCACTGGAAATCAGCTGATTCAAATGAAGCAAAACAATGACTACATTGATGCTGTTTTGTTTGTGTTTTATGAGTTTAGATTGAATATGCAATCAGGTTCATAAAAGTTTTATTATTTTTGAAAACATCTGTTATTATTACTCACTTCCTGTTGAACAATGTTGTTATGATAATGTTTACTTTCTTTACAGAAACCTATTTTATGGTAGTTGAAGGTTAAATGAGGGTAAATCTGTAAAAGAAGAGTACTGTTTGTATATAACGCATAAAAATAAATAAAAATGGTCAAATTTCAAGCATTCAAAACGACCTTTGACAGTTCGCACAATGCAAAAAAATGTATCAGTCTGATTAATTGATTTAGTTCCACACATTTTTTGAGCAATGAACTGAAGTGACTAGTTCTTTCTGTTAAAGGGAAGGACAAATGAAAATATTATAGAATATACTTAGACTGATCATTAAAAAGGTTAGCTATGTATGTTCGGTTAAGTCACTTGTGCATGCGTGAACAAAGTGATAGACTCTCACTCTTGCTGATGTCCTCCTGTAGTTCAGGGGGGTTGTATTTGTCGATCTTTGTCTTGTCTGTCCTCCTAGGCAGTTCAGCCAGTTTACGTTGTTTTGGTTTTGGCCGCACCACTTTAACGGGCTCCTATACAAACACAAGGATCTGGGATTAAAAGGGGTGTAAAAATTCACATTTTGTCATTATTTACTTTAGGTACAGAATGTAATGGTCATTTTTTCCATACAATGTCTAGCTTCAAAAAAAGATGCCAAAGAAGCATAAAACTAGTGAATACAACACACGTGCATTATATTCCCAGTCATCTGAATAACTCTCATATACCTTATAGGCTTTGGTCACCACTCTGCTCTTCCGACGTGGCCCGTCCTCCTCCTGCTCGCTGTCAGGTTCATCCCCTTCATCAATGTCAAAGTCACTGTCCACCTCATCTTCTGTTTCAGACCGATCACCCTTATACTCTTCATCACCTGATTCCTACACAAATCAAGTTTTGAAGATGAGACTCTAGACAGGTGCAAATGACTACATACTACTGCATAGATTACATTCAATTGGAATTATTTATCCAATACAATGTCTAATTTATTTTAACCGTCAATGTAAGCATCTGATCACCCTCGAATGAGGGTTATGTCGGCCCAATTAATGTGTTCATTTTTAAAAGCTTTTGTGAAAAGCTTCATACAATATATAAGAAAAATATGTAAACATCTCCATACAATATATTGACAAAAAAAAGTAAGGTGAAATATTCGAAATGTGCTCAAATTATATACAAAAATGCATAAGTGTTATACTCTATGAAGTTAAACTTTTAGTGAATTTTTAGCATAGGTGGGATAAATCAAAGCACAAATGCACAATGACTCGTGAGTCATGGGATGATTTCCTGACAGTCTCAAGACAATAAAAATCAGGGTGGCAGGGCACATTCTCACAGAAACAAGTCATAAACGTGTAAATGTATTACATTTGCGTTAATATGTCAACACAAGCCCGCGACAAGCCGCACAGGTGATGTTTCATCACTCACATCGTGAAATCCTCCATAGGTGGTCTTGTAGAACTCATCCTCCTCTTCTGCATCCAGAAGTCTGGACATGCGGTTTCCCGCAGTCTTTCGAGGAGCCCTGCTGAAAGCTAAACTCATCCTGACACCTAAATATATTTCACTATCAATCAGATATGTAAAGACAATCAGATACGTATTTATAATAAAATGAATGACATGACAAGTTCAAATAGAGCAGGGTTAAATTGAGACCAGATTTCAGGATAGGACTCAAATCTGTAGAGCAAAGCAAAACTTTACTGTATCATCAGGTTAATAAATTGAAGGTTTTCAAATTATTATCAGCTCATGCCAGCATGACAGAATAAACGTTAGACTCACTAGTCTAATGTGGCATTAAGAGAGTAATCGATGTAGGGGTCTATTTCCAGACCAAACTAATAGAAATGGAAGATGAGAATTCATACCGCGGCCACCAGGTGGAGACAGAGCTTAAGTGAGGACGTCTGAACTAAAGTACCCTCGTCCTCGTGTTGGGAAATGATTATATAAGTTCATTTTTAGAAACTTTGTGACACCAGATGTCACACAGCTTAGTCAAATGACATCAGAAAGATATATACTATGAAATATATAGTAATGTAGTTTTCCTACACATTTTCACCAATGATTTGCCATGAGTATTTTTTCCCCTAACTTAGCTAGCCTATAGCTATTAGCCAATTGGATAAAGAGGATATAAATAATGTTATATTTTAAATCTGCACTTACAAAAAGCAGCATTTTCCAAATGATTGGCTACATTTAATGTCGGGCATAACCTGAAACATATATTCACCAAAGCTGTTAAAATTAATCATTTGTGAAAAGGTGTGATGGGTGGTTGCTGTTCTCCTTGTTGTTAAAGTTGTGTTCATGGATCATTAGCATTCAAGGTTCAGCAATATGTTTCTATAAATGGTTGAAAAAAATAAAAATAAACACTATCTATTTATGTGACAAAGTGGATATGTTATGCTTGACGAATGTTGTTGAGCATTAAAAAAAACTAATTGTGAATGTTAAGAGAACTTTTGAACTCTGAGAACTGTTTAGTGCACTTTGTCAAATGTTGTGAACTTCATAACTCATATATGTATCAATAATTTGCAATGTCATTTGCTTACTCATTTGAACATAGCCCTTCAAAAAATCTCAATGACACCAGATAACATTTTTCAAATATTTTTACTGTAGGCCTACATATTAAGCACACACGGAAACAACATTCCAACTTGATCATTTTGCCTTTTGGCATGTCATGAACCAAAAGATGTTTCAAAAATGTCTTCAACATAATCTTTTTTTTTCACCCATAAGAATGCAAGTTACACTGATAGACTCATTATGTTTTGCAGAAATGTGTCACTCAATAATCGATCCTGTTGAGTTGATTAAGTCTGAATCTGCACCACTGCAGGATAAATGTGGGACAGATTAGCCAAAAACGCTCTGGTTATTTTTTTAACATGATACGGAATTGCTGCCAAACTATATGCCATTCCTTTTAAAGACAAAATATTTTAATGAAATTGAACATCAAAATCATCAATCCCATGTCTACTTTACCTTTGAGGAGCTGAGGGGAAAATACCAAGGCCAAACCAATTTAATCATTTAAAAAAAATTGTAAAAGTCCATGGGGAAAAACAGAGAAAGGAAACTCATTACCATATTACATGGGAAATTCAATTCACTACAAAACAACAACACTTTGTCAAACTCCATTCCTTTAAATGAGATAACATGGACTGATTACAGGGCTGGAAATTAACAATACCTTAATTCATTGTATTTTGGCAATGATTAAAATAAACTTGCAGGTTGCAGGAAGAATTCCCCAAGAGGTCAAGATCATGTGAATGCCATGGTTCTGCTTGTTTTCCCTCTCCTGGTGTGATACAAAGGTTAAAGTACACGTCTATGAAAGGCCACCCATGCAGATCTCTCTTTCATCCACCCACACACACACACACACAGACACAGACACACGAGAATTCCCATATCCAAATTTCCTTTGATGGCCAATAAGAAGGAATAGGCCTATTTAAAGTATGTATACCAAAATGGTGCTTTTGGTATTTTTTAATCACTGAATTTTTCATGGACAAAACACTAGTCGTTTCTGGGAAGTGGGAACATAATGAATGCAGCACTGACAGAACACAATTGTCCTTGGAACAAAGCTGCAGTGTATGTTCTGAGCAAACTTTCAATGTCATTCCTTCTCAACCCATTTACATTCATTTGAAAACCAAAGGTGCGCGAGCACACCCAACAAAGTTTACGTTCTTTAAATGCTTCAAATTCAAACACTTGGTGTGTTAAACCATAAAGCAAGTAGATTTGTATTGACGGTGGCATGCGTTCACTTCCTCCCACGCTGAAAGGTATTTTTCATATAGGGGTGTGCTAGCATTGTTTGAGCCATAAGGAATAAGGAAGATGGTAATTCCAGGACACTCCTCTGACATATGGAAATGAAATGCAGATGTAAAGTTTGTCTCTGTCAGATTACAACGATTTTTTTTTTGCCTCAGAACATGAAGTTGTACAAAAAGTCCTAGAATCTTAAAACAGCTGATTCTAGAATTTCTGTGAGAATGAGAATGAACAGGTTTCGGCTTTTAAGAAAGAATGCTGATGCTGTCAATGAGAGCTTTGTGCTCAGAATGGTGTTTGGTTTCCTTTATCCTTTGATATCTGGCTTTAGTGTTCCCTGTTTCTGTCTCCCTCTCTCCCTCCTGCAGTCTCTGTAGAATACAAAAACATTTGTGAAACTGAGAAGGGACACGCTCATTCACAGATGAAATCAAAGATCCCCCTGACAATATGGCATAAGTAGAGTTTACAGACTGGAGTCTGTTTGTTGTTGTTGTTGTTGTTGCGGTACAGAGCTCGAAGGCTCTATCGTAGGCTGTGCGATTGGTACCATATGAAGGACCTTGTTGTTAGGGCCACTGAATAGACATTATTCTGAGGGCTACAGTGGAAAATGATCTCACAGTTTTGGAATGTGAAAACACGCCGCTGCTGGGAAGTGAGGTTTGTGGGGGTGTTACATATCCCATATCCCCCTCCCCTCCCCTTACAGGCATCTGGAATGCAGAAATAGTGGGTAAAAAACTCTTTCCTTTCAAAGGATTGTGTCCAGCGTTAATCAGCGGGTGTAGAGAAACATCTACTAATCCAGTTTTACCCAATTAGAAAAGGAACAGTACATCTCGATGGGACACGTATGTTCTGAGGTATTTAGGTTGAGTCTGCTTTTGTTTGGGCTGTCATTCCCTTCTGCATCAGTGTCCATGTCAAAAGCATTACAGTACATCGTGACATTACATAAGGCAGGGTTCTGTTTGAGCATGTTTGAGGACTGATGTTTTGACCTCAGAACAGAATGTTCTTGTCTGAGTCCGGTGACGTAACGTCTCAAACGTCCAGCCCACCGCTCACATCATGACCTCTTTTAGCTTGAAACCGAGAGAAGAGTAGGCCTTTTGCTATGGGGATCAAGAAAAAACAACTGTTTGAATATGTTATATAAGTCCCTGTGGAATGTACTGTTTCTACAGAATATTTAGTGTCTGACAGCGGTCCTCTGGAAAACTGTTCACTACTGCTTTCAAAAACATAAATACAGTTTAAAACCCAGTATACGAGTTATTTTTAATATATATTTCCCAGCAATAAAGACACCAAATTCAAAATAGACCACAAAAAAACCAGGTGGCTAAATTTAGTCTAAAATTAAACTGTCACTCAATAGGACCTATAGTTGGTTTGTACAGAAGTTATTAATAAACTCACTTGAGCAATCGGGTTTGTGATATTTTAAATAACTCTGTTATGCTCACCAAGGTGGCATTTATTTCCTCCAAAAAATGTATTTCCTGCAGTAAGAACAGTAATAGGCAATTTTTAAATATGATTACACTTTAAAATAACAGTTTATTTAAATATTTTAAAATGTATAATCTAATGACTCCAGTCTGTGTCACATAATATTTCAGAAATCTTTCTGATTTGGTGCTCAATAAACATTTCTAGTTTCTTGTCAATGTTGGAAATGTTGTAATGTTTAATATTTTTGTGGAAACTGTCATTCATTTTGTTATGATTCTTTGATGAATAAAAACTAAAAGAACAGAAAATATCTGAAATAAGTCTGTCACTTTTAATCAGTTTAATGCATCTCGTGGGACACAGTTCATAAATGGCAGTGACATGCTAATCATTAAAATGGTTATGTGACCAAAGGGCAACTACAGGCTAAAAATATTTGCACACTTCATTACATCCCTGAGAAAAAGGGAGGAAAAAAACACATCACTGCAAACATTTGAACCTGCCAAGCAAACTCATTCACATATAGCACATCACTTTGTTTGCATAAATATTCATTAAATTGTACGTCAAAGTGTGAAGCTATGCCATAAATCAGTTTAAAAGTGTTCAGCATAAATAAACACCACCACATGTGACTAAAAGGTGGGCAGTTAAAATGACAAGATACACCTCAAACAAACATACATTGATATACACACACTGACAATACAGCATGTCCTAAAGCACTTCATGTTCTTAAACATGCCTCATGTGTTGCAGTTGATTGTGTGAACACAAAAGTGCAACATTTTAAATGTCTTCACAAAGCACCAAAGGGATAAATGGATTTATTTGTATTAAGATATGATTTCAATGTTAACTTCGGTTTAATATGCGATTGGTCCTCAAAAAGAAAGAAGCCAAATTGTATTCTCCTTCTATTCAGGCATGAAACAAATTCACGTTAAAAGGGTGCACCACATACCAATCATACTCATGACTTATCAGATTAATGTTTAGAGGCAGGTACCGTCAAAACAAAACTCAATTCCCACGTATCCTTCTTCACCTACAGAGCGAAACTATAAGGCAGTAACAAGATTATATTTCTGCATGCCTCTGCATGCACTTATCAATCAGTATGCGGTGTTTATCACATTCTGATATAAACAAATTCTGGCAATGCTTTAAAACTTTGTGATTGCCATTTGTTCTTTTGACAGAGTGTCTAAATGAGTTATTAATTGAAAATAATACATTTGCATTCTATAAAAAGCTTTACACCAACGAATCTATTTAGAGCCACTATTTAGCAATGTGTTTGACAATAATGATGACGAACAACAAGACAAAAGAACGAATGGTGGAGTCACACAGGAAGTACATCCTATTTCTTAAAAATAAAAATAAAAAATCGATACTATAGCAAACTTACGCAATGAAACGAAAACAAGATTTTTTGTAGTTTTAGCATGTCACTGCCAAGATATTGTTTGGCAAAAAACCCCAGTTGAAGCAACTAGCTTTTATTTCCCAGAAAGGTGTGGGAACAAGATCAATGAATGCCATACATGATGACATCAAAAGATCAGGTATTGCTGCCAACGGATCAGACTATGCCATATGGTATGCTCAAAAACAAACATGACAAGCTGTGTCATGCCGTAGGTGACATAACAGCCACTGTAGCTACAGCGGTGTGTCTGCACTGTGTACATTGTACATTTCTGTGGGGTTTAAGAGTTTGAAACTTTGAAAGATATTGAGATGTTTAAGGTGAAAATGACAATTGAAACTTGAAATGTGTTTCTAAGTAACTGAGCCTACATGGGAAAAAGAGTTCAGAGAGATCAGCTGAAATAAGAGTCGGTCGTGGGAACAGAACTGTGAGTTCTCATGTGTTTATAGTTACTGTCAAGTTCGCTGTCAAGGTCAAGGTCAATGTCCTATCAGAGTATAAATAACTTGTACTCAATGCTATTTGGCCGTTCTTACAAGACGTATTTAAACCATTACTATTTGAGAATCCATCTTTTTTTTTCTATGCATTTGAGGGCAAGAACTGAAAGAACAAGAAATGTCATTTGGATATACACTCACCTAAAGGATTATTAGGAACACCTGTTCTCATTAATGAACTCACCTAATCAACCAATCACATGGCACTTGCTTCAAAGTATTTAGGGGTGAGGTCCTGGTAAAGACAATCTCCTGAACTCAAACCGAATGTCAGAATGGGAAAGAAAGATGATTTAAGAAATTTTGAGCGTGGCATGGTTGTTGGTGCCTTGTTGATGCTCGAGGTCAGAGGAGAATGGGCCGACTGATTCAAGCTGATAGAAGAGCAACTTTGACTGAAATAACCACTCGTTACAACCGAGGTATTCAGCAAAGCATTTGTGAAGCCACAACACGCACAACCTCGAGGCGGATGGGCTACAACAGCAGAAGACACCACCGGGTACCACTCATCTCCACTACAAATGAGAAAAAGAAGCTACAATTTGCAAGAGCTCACCAAAATTGGACAGTAGAAGACTGGAAAAATGTTGCCTGGTCTGATTAGTCTTGATTTCTGTTGAGACACTCAGATGGTAAAGTCAGAATTTGGCGTAAACAGGATGAGAACATGGATCCATCATGCCTTGTTACCACTGTGCAGGTTGCGGTGGTGGTGTAATGGTATGGGGGATGTTTTCTTGGCACACTTTAGGCCCCTTTGTGCCAATTGGGCATCGTTTAAATGCCACAGCCTACCTGAGCATTGTTTCTGACCATGTCCAACCCTTTATGGCCACCATGTACCCATCCTCTGATGGCTACTTCCAGCAGGATAATGCACCATGTCACAAAGCTCGAATCATTTCAAATTGGTTTCTTGAACATAAAAATGAGTTCACTGTACTGTTGAGCCCCTAAGCCTAACCCAATCCTAAACATAACCATTCCTCAATGATATAAAACAGTGCAACAGGCAGATACATTTACAGCAAATGTATATAATTTTAATTACTATATACTAAGATTTTTTACCACACCTAACATAAATCATAATGAGATCATATTACAGGATGAACATTTAACCTCTTTAATCTGATTTGCCAACAGTGCATCTGAGACTCTAATGTTATCTGACACTCCTCCAATCACGTCGATAAGGGGATCAATAAAAAACAAGTGTTTTGAATATGTTATATAAGTACTTGTGGATTATATATTTCTGTATGCAGAATATTTAGTGTCTGACAGCAGTTCTCTGGAACATTTTTGGAATTTGCGTAGGTATTCAAACCTGCAATAGCAAGTTTTTGGAATGTACAAAACCCCTATTTGATGGAAGTGTTTTTGCAACAGAAATGTTCAATACAATGTTGTATCTTGATATATGAATGAGTAAAAACATGGACACCTGCAAATTGCATAGAATCTTTGGCCTATTTACAAATACAGCATGCAAAACAGCAGACAGGTGAAAAATGATCCCTGTGTTGTGCATGTGTTTACATTTTATTATCTGCAACATAAAACCTTAATCTTCTGAGGAGTTCGTCAAAGTGAAAAGTTCCTTCATTTACAATTCTTCTCAGGGAAAGTTTTCCACACCCAGGAAGAAACATGCTGCAGCAAGACACTTTTCATGACACTTTGCATTTTAGCTGCATACAGACATGTGTGGGTATTTTGACATTCACGATGCAAGAAGTATAAATGTATAGACACAAAAGAAAATTAACAAATAAAAAATAAAAATTTCGCCCAACAGGGATGCATTATACAAAATAATTGCAAATTTTTCCTGATATAAATAAATAACTTCCTGGATATAAATGGGTGTGGTTTTGACTGTTTCCTACACATTCCTAAAAGCTACAGATATGTAATAAGCTGCAAAGAGAATCAACAATCTTTCTATTTTGCATACATTAGTCATGATTAATTAATAAAGAAACATGATTTTCCACGAAAAATGACATCCCAGCTAACAAAATTTGTTCTAAGAGCACTTTGCTAATATTCCCATTAAGTTATAAAAAATATATTATATCTGAATGTTCCATCTTCCAGGGTTTTTTTTTTATGTTTTAAAAAAAAAATGTCTTACTTATGCAAACCTTAAGGGAACATTCCATGCTATCATTTGCAAATATTATTGGAATGCTACGTTTTAAGTACATTTAGGATTAAAAGAAAAACGTTAAATGGGCATCCAACTACTGCACAACGTTTTAGAAAAAATGCTCCCGATGTTGTCACGCTTATGTTCAGTTAGTTTCGGTTTCCATGGACTTTTAGTTTGTTTTCATTTCCTTCCGTTCCTTTGTTTAATTTTCCTGCTTCTCCTTTTGTTTATATACAGATTATTAGTTGGTTGGGTTCAGCTGTGTTTGATGAATTACCTTGTTTGAATCTGCACTTAAATTCCATTCTCTCCTCAGTTGGTTATTGTTTGTGTGTCTGTTACATTAAACCTTTATATTTTGAATGCCTTCATCTTGTAACAGATGTTCTCGTGCTAATATTCTGCAAACCTTATTAAATATATATATACCTTTGAATCAACATTCTTTTAATGTTTCATAACTTTGAAAGTAAACTAAAATTCTGAGAATGTTGTAGGGATCTGTTTCTCTATTTTTAAATGAAAGCATGTGACAACTCCAGAAATGTTCAACCT